GTTCTTATGTTCTTATGTTCTTATGTATTCCCCGATACCCTGACGTCTGCGCCTTTGTCTCTGTTCCGTCACCGCTGGGCACGACAATATTATTATAATTAAATTTATTAATGGTGTATTATTAATATTAAAATTATTTATAAGAAATCTTTATTTTTAAATGTATTTTATTATATAATAATAATTACTGTTACTGTCTATCATTGTCTAAATGTATTTTTACTGTCTAAATATATTTATTCAGCTAGTGTAAACATGCATGATGCTATCACAGCGAATGCAAGGCTGAGACTGAAGCGTTACCCTTCGTTTCCGCTGAGAGACGTGCCGCGTGACTCATTTCCCCGCGCGTACAAGTTATCTTAGGTCGCCATTCATGGTTTGACTTCTGAGATTCAGATCAGGTCCTAGGTAATTTTTTTGCGTACTGGTTGGTTCGACTTTTACGAAATTCGAGTTCTAATGAGTTCAAGAACTGAGGTACCACTGTATCTGTAACTCAGAACTTGATTCCCACCTGAATCTCCAGCTTACTCACCCATGCAGTAACCCAGTTAAGAGGGATGGTCCTTAGCATGGTGGGTAAGACAAGGACCTGTAATCTGAAGTTTCCCAGCCCAAGTCCTGGGAGAAGCTCAGCCTTTTTACCTTTAGACAGGTGTTTAACCTGAACTGCTCCAGTGCCCAGCTGTCTGAAAGGGGACAGTTTTAAATAGCTAAGAAATGGGGATTATTCAAAATCCTTATTTAAAAGCCTTTGTTTAGGCTGGGGGCAGTTTGACTTTATAGATGTTCGGAGGCATGATTTAAGATGAATAATGTCTCCCAGCCAAACACCCTCACTGACTTTTCATGACCCTTTTTAATCTGCTTCCTAACCTTTGTGACTCTATGGGTTAGAACTTAACCACAGGCTCTCTGATCCTTACTTGCACGTTAAATTTGGACAAAAGCATCAGCTAAGTAAATGATCCACTGAATGCATTTGTATGTTTTCCTGTGTCTGACATTAATTACATGGTGACTGACTATTATTACCTCATTTCAGGTTCTTTCATTGAGTTTTCAACAAAATATTCCCCATTTCCAGCTGAGAAAGCAACATTTGGAGGATTTTTTAGTGGAATGATATTTATGTTCATCCTTTTTCTTATATTTCGAAGTAAGTGTTTATAAATGGATTTCAGAAATATTGGGCTAGGATTACTCACACATTTCTTTTCTGCTTTGTATTTAAACACAGAAATGTGTGTTGAGTTACAAAATTTAAATTTGTATAATATCTGTTTTATTTACTGTTAAGCTGCAGTATATCCATTGAGCAGCGCAGTGGCTCGGTGGTCAGCATTGCTGCATGACACCTCCAGGCTGCTGGTTTGAGTCCCCCCTCCTCTGTGCCTGTGTGCAGTTTGCATGTGCTCCCCCTGTCATGTGGGTTTGAGTCTCCTTCCTCTGTGTCTGTGTGCAGTCTGCATGTGCTCCCCCTGTCATGTGGGTTTCCTCCAGAAGCCCAAATTCTCAGGTTAACTGGTGCCTGTAAACACCCCATAGCATGTGACTGTATCTATGGCCTCCCCTCCAAGGTTTACCTCTGCCCTGTGCTGCTTGGCATAGGCTCCAGGCCCCCTGTGACCCTGTGCAGGATGGGTGGATGCATATTAATGTATTACACAAGTACAGGCACAATAATGACTATTTTCTTAAAAGCTGCCCCCCCGGCATCCCTTGTTACCTTTTAATACCCCATTTATGTTCTCAAATATAGTTGGTTTTTTCCCTCCTTGTTAATATGGGATTTTATTCCATCTCTTCTGACTTTAATTTTATTATGGTGACCGACTCTGTTCTCACCCCCCCTTTTCAGTCATTGACATGGTGGTTTGGACAATATATCCCATGAGATATGAGAAAATACTTGCCTACATAGCAGGAATAACTGGAGTTATATTTCTGGTCGTCTTGGCTTCATCCATAAGTAAGTCTGTTTATAAGTTCACATGTGTGCTGTTTGCATGTTCTCCCTGTGTTTTTACCCTGGTTCCCTCCATGCAGGGGCATCATGCACATTTTTTTTGAGGGTTCACAGCTTCATATGAAACATGTATAATTGCCAAAACATGAAATTCACTTGCAGACTGAGCTGGGGCAGTCATATTGAATTCCATAATCAGCCTGATGAGCAGAACACTTGTCCCAAATCCCAAATGTGGTTCATCTGTAAAGTAAGCCTGTTTGTGTCAATTAGGTTGTAACACTACATAGCATACAGCTGCCAGGGTTAGCACCCATCTGCTCCAACCTTTCATGTCTCCATCCCGTTTGGTCAGCAGGTGTTGCTGGCCATCCTGTTCTCCTTGTGCCCAAGTCCTTTGTGTGTTTCCCTTGCTCCGTAGATTGCTGTGTGGTGCTATAGATTGAGCATGTGGCTACTAACCTGTTAGTCGTGTTTTTGTCTGTTTTTTTGTCTGTTTTTGTGTTCATTAGAAATTGTTCCCTAGTGTTTCTTTTGTATGAGTTTTCTTATCCTAGGTTTTCTCTGCTTGTGTTCTGTTTTGTTCTTTTCTGGTTCTGTTTAATTATCCTTGTTTTCTGTTCCTAGTGTTTTATTCCCTGTTAATGTTTTCTAGTTTTTGGTATTCCTTTAGCTCTCTAGCTTCTGTGTTTATCCATCCATCCATTAACTTCCGCTTATCCGAGGTCGGGTCGCGGGGGCAGTAGCCTCAGCAGGGAAACCCAGACTTCCCTCTCCCCAGCCACTTCCTCCAGCTCCTCTGGGGGAATCCCGAGGCGTTCCCAGGCCAGCCGAGAGACATAGTCCCTCCAGCG